ATGCACACACTGCTTGTGGTGGATTGAGCTAAAGGGCCCCAACCGGGTGTGACTTTGATCCTCACCACAACATCCGCTCCTCCACTCCAACACTCCTTTTCTGCTGCCTCTGGACTCCTACCAAGGCCTCGAGTTACTCCTTTCAAATGGAGCCTGATATGCCATCAAACACAGAGGAACCTCCTGTTGTGACTGGACACACAGTGTGTACGATCCAGATCTAGCTCAAGGTCTCAGAGTGGTTTGTGTCACCATCTTAACGGCCACAAAAGTAATAATAGCGTAGTTATATATGCCGAGTAGTGAGCGTGTTGCGCTCTGTGAGGATGAGCCAGATGGGTAAATTTGGTGGAGGTTTCAGATTCCGAGGAAATTTACGAGTTTTTGCAAAGCAGCAAAGTTAAATCATTTTGACAACATTAATAAAAAAGTATGAGTTTCAGTTCTTTTTTTGGCATCAGAAAAGTTAAGCCTGGTTTTGAACAGGGGCATTGGGGCCCAAAACTAAGGTCATTACCAGATGTTTAACTCATGCAGATGTGAAGGGCCATACTATTTTTACTGAGGTTTTACTGAGAACATTTTCATATAAATTGTAAATAATCAGCCTGAAAGGGTTAGTTAATGCCACACATAGGAGGATATATTTAATCTTAATCCTGGTGGTATCTAACCATGCGTTGTTGGTTCTCACCACTATCACTGAAGATCAGATGTGAAGGGAGGTATTTTTTTAGTGCTCATGCCAGAAGCATGTGAAAGTAGCACTGTTTCCTACCAGAAAAAAACATGTAGATATCATTGACACAAGATAATAGTAGATAATAGAAAAGGGTATCTCCTTTTTAGAGGGGTTTACCTTTGCCTACTCCATTAAGACATAAAATGTTAATTTATTTATTTGCTTATTTTGGATTTGCTGTCCATGTTCATGGTTTATATATACAAATATATATATATATATATAGAGATTTTTGTCCATATCGCACAGCCCTACATACAGTCATTACTTATGTATACATAGTATATATACATTATGTATATACTTATTTCCTGAAATCTTTCTGGTAGTATAATGACACCATTATCGGCAGTATTATTGGCACCATTACCCTTTTATTTGGAAACTTCTGTTCATTTATTCTTTATTGATTCTAATAAGCAATTTTTCCATCAGCATGTTGTCTCTGATACACGTTGCCTCCACTATATTTAAATGATCAGATGTTGTGGTGACAATGAGAAACAGACCCGTTAACAGTGAACGTATTGAGAAAGATTCTTATTAACACAACGCCCAGCCAAAGGTTTGCAGCCTGATGTGCACTAGCACTTCCTATGTGTTCTTTATAAACACTGTACATACTGATGACATGCAGAAGTTAAGTGTGTCACATTTAAGTGTCTCATGAGGGGAGCTGAGCTAATAAGCTATATTTTAACATGTCAAAGCTAATAAAACATCTTCATGCTCATCAGCCAAAGGAGCGCAATGAATTTACTGTAATAAGAGAACAGCAACTAGTGAGGCAGCTGATGCCGTTGCCGTCCCCGAACACGCGAGTCACAGAGTAATGCTAAATATATAGTAATTACAAAAGGAAACCGGGTGGTTCTCTCATCTCGTGCTTCCTGTTGACAATCCCAACCTTTTAAACACAATTTTTTTTAAGACAACGAACGGTATTTGCTCCAGAGAGGCCGCTGTTTGTGGGGAAACGAGAAATCGAGAAAGTTGATTTATTTCCGTATTTAAGTGGCATCACTTCCGTAGTAAGTTTTACACAAACCACGACAATAAATTGTTTTTGTGGAAAAAGAAGATTCTTTTAAAAGGCCTGTTTGCATGTAGCAAGTGTAAATTGACATTATGGTCAGATAGACATTCATAAAATTTTAGACATCATGTACGCTCTGCTGCAACTTGTTGAGCTAATCTTTAATATTGATGTCCCTTGAGGAGACATTTCCATGATTCAGTTTAAGAAACAAGTCTGATAAGTAATCAGAATTGTCTTTACGGGTAAAAGTAATCCAGATAAAATGATACGTCAAAAAAAGGGACAAATTACATTCAGTCGCTGTGCAGAATCGTCATCGGGTGAAGGTTCATCTTCAAATAAAATTCTCTTACAGTATTGGTTTGGCACTGCAGAATGACGCTTGGATGATGTTGCCTAGGTGCCGTCACCGCGGCGCCTGGAGCTGTGATATTCCTGCGTAGCTTGTCAGTCAATGGGAAAATAACGAGCCCAATTTATGGGGTGTCTTAAAAATGCAATGTGAAAAATGCATGCAAAAATAGCTTTTTTTACCAAGCTTTCACAGTAGTTAGACTCTTTTTCTAGGTGTTGTTGAACTACAGCACCTTTGTTCTCCTTTTTCTTTGATTAAATCAGGTATATTCACTCCACTCCAAACAGGTGATTTTGCGTTACACCCGTTCACAGTTGAGCTTTCCTACGCGTGGCCCTTAACCCTGCCTTGTCAGTGAACGACCCAATGGGTGTTTCCAAATTGAGGCTGCAGGTGTGAGTCTGAGTTCTTTCAGTAGCCTCCCTCTGATCCCCTTTACTGGGACTTGGCTCCTCCTGCTTTTGGAGGAGATGAAAACAATGCTCCTCACTATGGAAATGCGTTCAGGCGCTTGGATGCTTCGTACACTTTAGCCTTTTTTCAAAGCACTTGTCCAGTTGTTCTGCTCCCTTGCACCTTTCTCTCTCTCTCCCTCTCTCACTAACCCCCCCGCGCCCACTGCGCCTTCTGCGATCGATCCAACCATGTCTCCCCTTCCCACATGTCATCTTTTTTTCTTTGACACAACTCTCTCTCTCCTCTCCCCACTGCTTGGTATTCTGGAGTGGAAATGCATGCACCATCGCAGATCCATCAGCCACAATCGGGATGCCGCGCCACGGCTCGGGGAAATGGAGGGATGAGAAGGGTGGAGGGAGGAAGAGGGAAAGGGGGCGAGGGAGTGTGAGGCGGGTCAGTTGCATGTCGACATCTTTCGGGTCCAAAGCCTTGTGCTGCCAGAGGAAAAAAAGGTGAGAGTATGAGAATGGAAAAGAAGCACCTTTTTTATTTATGAGACTTTTGTTGACATTCATTTGATCTGAAGAATTTGAGGAGCACATATGTTCTTGTACCTGGTTTCCAAATTAGAGCTCAATAAGTAGTATGTTAAAGGAGCCCGTGAGCATTTATTAAAAAGTTCAGGCTCTGTGCAGGTACAGTGGGCCGTAAAAACTTCAAGTATAAACACTTGTTTGGTTCACTTCTATCTGACTGCACCACACACAGTTGGCTCCCGACAGAGTAGTCAAAGGAATAAGGCACATTCTATTCACATGGAGTTAAATGCATGTATAGGTGGTGGAGACAGCTCCACCCATCAGGAAACATTTATTACCAAATATGCCAAACATACAAGGAATTTGTCTTGGCGGTTAGTGCGCGACAGTAGACAGACAAGACAGCAGTGCACAAGTAATAAAATAAAGTAAAATGAAATGCTAATGCAATGGGTTAGTATGAATAAGGCTATGGGTTCGTATAAAACAAGGGAATAAAGTTAAAAATGTTAAATATTAAAAAATGGCAACAATACATGCAGCAATACATGCAGGCAGCAAACAAAACAAACCTCAATAGGATCATAATGAGGAGAACAGCTGCGGAAGAATGATTTTGGATGGACAGACAGTAGATGCTCTGCAAAGGGAATAGAGCAGAATCACAGAATGGAGAAAATACATTACAATAAGTAAATAAGGTACATGATATGAATATTCCTTGTAATAAGTCAAAGGCTTTCTGAGTCTTTATTTTCTCAAAAACCTCTTTACTGTGTTGGTCTTAAGATAAATCTTTTAAGATAAATTCAAATAATTTTACAATGACTTTTGCACTTGCATATATATATACATTATATTTCCATCCCTGAAATATGTTTTTTAGTGTTTGTCATGCAGAACGTATCTGTCACTGGAATAAATATTCATTCAGGTTGTGGATTAAATGTGATGGCAGATGTAATAAGATGACATAAACGTCCATTTGTAGCCAGTCACTGTCCTACGGCGTAGCATTTGTCTCTTTTAGCAAAACTATGTAAAGAAATAGTTCACAAGCAGCTTTTCATTACACATTCCTCTGTAATGTAAACTGCCTCCTTTTTTTAACCATCAGTCCACTTTTCTCTATTCAACTCACTCATCAACCCTTCCTTCTCTTGTCAGAGCGGTGGGAGAAGCAGACAAGTGCTGATTGCATCGATGCTCTCTCTCTCTCTCTCTCTCTCTCTCTCTCATTTGTCGCTCGCCTTCTTTCGTGCTCCTCCTCTCCAAAGCCTCTCCATCCCCTCTGTGTTCTCCCCCATGGCTTTCCTCTACAGCAGTGTGTTGCCTTGGTAATTACCAGTTGTCTTAAACAGACAGATGGAATAAGAGAGAGTGACGGGCAATTTTCCCAGTGCCTGTTTCCCCCGTTTATGTGCATACGAGTCCTTTTTGCTGTGTGTGTTCTGTATGCATGCTCCCTAACTTCTCACCGTGTCTTTGCAGTCTCTACCCTGCTGTCACTCTCCCTATGAGTTTGTATTTGTTTGTTTGCGTGTGTGGGGGGGGGGTAAGGCAATTATGGGGAATTACCTGACAGAATGTGTTAGTCCAGGATGGTAGTTCCATCTCCTCTTGGCCGTTTCAGATGCCAGTTGTCACTCTGGACCTGTGCCCCCTGAGGGATCACTGCCCCCCCCCCCCCGGATGCTCCTATCACACAGCAGTGGAGTAAAGAAAGTGACCATTTTTGTCCTCAGAACGCAGAAGCAACAGAATATGTGACTAGTGGATGGAGACAAGGGCGATAGGCAAATAAGGGGCTGCGCGGAAGCTCAGCGATTTGTGTTTATAAGAGAGACTGAGATGTACTGAGGTGATGCCCCTAGTTCACCTGCAGGTATCCATGTCGTCCAATTAATTTCCCACACTCTCTTCCAGGCTGGTGTGATCCGGATGGAGCAAGAGGAGTTTTTCATTGAGCCAGTGGAGGGGGGCGACGGATTGGGAGAGGCGGAGGAGGAGGAGCAGGGAGGAGGAGGAGGAGGAGGAGGAGGAGGGAGGACACACGTCGTCTATCGCTCCTCAGCCATTAAGAAAGGCCCGATCAGCAGCCCGGCGGCAGACTACCACTCCAGAGGTCAGTCTGTGGCTTTGCCATCCCCCACTTTTAAACCCCCTTCATGCATTCAGCTCTGTGCTTTATTTAACGACAGAATGACATGACATGCATCCTCTGTTCTACATCCTGAATACCACACGGAACATACCCTGAAATGAACTAGTGCCTCACGCCGGTCTTCCCTCAAACCCACCTGCTCATGTAATCAAACTATTGCACGCTAAGGCAGCAAGTCACAGCAGCGGCACACCTTACTGTCAAACGGAATACACCTGCACAGTGAAACGCATCCTCCTCTTCCAGTGAGGTAGGAGTGACATCTGGAGAGCTAACACCCTGTATCTTTTATAGAATTATGCACTGCTCTTGGATGCCTCAACAATCAACAGCTGGCACTCAAGTCATTGGTTTCTCCTCGTCTGCCTCCATCTTGTACTCCACCGATCAAATAAATGAAGTGAAACATTAAGTAGGGCTATTATTTTAGAGGAAGCATTATAGAGTTTTACGCAGCGTGTCCGCTCTGGGGTTTGAAGGAAGGGCGATAAATGTATATTCAAATGGGCTTTAAAACTTGCGGCCTGAACACGATTATGCTTGCAAAACGATGCTTTCATAATACGAAATTGGCTGTTTGATCAGTTTTACTGTCAAATCTTACAATGACATTTGAAATTCAATCAAACCTCGTTGCATTAAAATGAAATAGCTCTATTTCAGTAATCGCACATGACCAACGACTGTTGACACAAGAGGAATTTAATGATTGAATGAAATTCAATTTATCTTACTGGGTTTTAAATGTTTTTGTCTTTTAGCTTAGTGCATAATTGGTGGAGTTTTATCCATTTGGATGATCAGAATATGCATATTCCTTTGTTACGTAAACCAAAGGACAGAAACAATTTTCATTCAATTGCTTCTATTGCTGCTTTATTTCAGTAAATCTCTACATTTGTTTTTGTGAAAAAATGTAAAAGAAATAGTAATGTGTGTTACATATATTTATTTGTTTTACACTACCGTTATCTACTTTTAGGTATGTCAGTAGTCTTTAACCACTCTTTAAGTTTTCAATAAATACATAATATTCCCTATGTTCAAAGAGTAGCAATGGCCCACTGATGAAAGTAACGCAATATCTAAGTTTGCAGTATTATCTGTCTGCATTCTAGTTGTTCTAGTGATCACAGGGGAAAATACTACTGCCATTTCATTCTCATAAGTGTTTCAGAAACAGCTGCCTAGTCTGCATGATGGACCTATGCAATAGCAATCATCTCAACTAATCACAAAAGCAAAAATATCCTCACAGAATCTCAGGTTGTGCTTCATAACATCTCAATTGCTAAGATCTGAGCAGTTGACTGAAGAATGTCTAATAATTTATACATCCATCTCTATATATAGATATATCTATATATATACATGTATACGAGAGAGTTTCCATAGGAACACCCAGTGAACACAGATCCGCTCCCTTGCTACGGATACCTGGCAGCACATCCACACACACGTACAGGATGTAACCACACGCAGCTTACACAACTCCCTTGATCATACATTTACACTTCTCAATACACATTCAGAAGCTGCATGCACGCCGACACACACAACACGTCTCACTGCTCCTTGTTGTCTTTGAATCTTTCTTTCTAATGAAGAGTGGGGTGCAGATCAATAGCGTTGGATAGAGTGTGTGTGTGTGTGTGTGTGTGTGTGTGTGTGTGTGTGTGTGTGTGTGTGTGCGTGCGCGCATGTATGGCGTGGGCATGAGTTCTGTGGTCGTCTGGCTTTGAGTGCTGGGATTTTCAAGGCCAAGCAGACAGACAGACAGACAGACTGAGAGACAAGCAGGCATGTGCTGCTCCCAGCAGCATTTGATGTGTATCTCTCTCTTCGTTTCTCTCCTCTCTTTTCTTTTCATCTTTGTCTTTGCTATTGTACCCCACAACATTATGTAAACACAGGTTTACCTTTTGTTACATCATATCCCTGTAATATCACAGCCAAGTGGATGCAAAGGAAGCACGTTATAGATCTTACATGCCATTCTTTCCACTTCAAATCCCTCATTACTTGTCCCCGTAGATATATCGGGGACATTAGCAAATTTATTAAGAGTCAATCAATCATTTCTTGGACATCTCCTTCGCCGGGCATTCTTAATTCAAAGCCCTTTATTGAACGTTGGACTCATTTCCTGGCTAAAGACAGAGGGAAGAAAGTTATATTTAGCAATGTAATAGAAGAGCTCAAGAAGAAAAGAAAGACGGATGAATAAGGAGCGAGATTGATCGGTTTCCTACACCATAATCTGAGGAGGTGTGAATCAATGTCCTAAGTGGAGAGAGCAAGCTTTATTATTAATGTGGAACACTTGTCAATTAATTGCTGCCCCAATAGAAAACAAAGGATTGGCATTCATTTTGTTGAGCTTTTCTTCCCCCCCTTAAAATGTAATTATGATTTACTGTATTAACTTACTTTTACCAGTGTCTGTATTACTGCAGCTTTATAGTGCAACTTTTCGGGGTGGCGTCTGCAGCCGGGCGGGTTTATTGTTTAAGGAGTTTAGTCTTTCACTAGTGGGACTGGGAGCGCCTGTTTGAGTGTGTTGCTTCAGTGTGTGTCCAAGCATGCGTGTGCGTGCCAGTGCAGTGTTGTGTCCAGGGTACTGAGACATGCCCAAACAGATGGACTACCACAGGGCTTTTTCTCATAATTCCCCTCATCTGCTCCCTGTACTGAACCCCCAAACATTCTTACACACAAAATCCTTCCATGTTTCTTGTCTGGATGCACCTTTCTGCACTACGCGAGCAACACGTTAGACTGTCAGTGAGGTAGCGTGGTTACTATCATTCAGCCTACATACATGGTCATAGTCGAGTTTCAAACGGCAGTCCTGAGCAGCGGACTCATTGACATTTCGGACATCTGTATTGTTCTGAAAGCGGAAATGTTCCCTGCAGTCCTCAAAGCAAAGTGATTTGAATTGGCCGGTGGGACTGACACTGACCCAGGTACACAAGACTCCATACATCTGCACAAAGCCAGTTTGTTTAACCTCTCAGGTGCTGCTGATCTGTGCTGCTCTTGAGTGTTTTTTTGATGTCGTACTGTGTTGTGACGCACTGTGCTGGGCTGATGTGAGCTGTTGTTAGCTCACTGTCGTTGGGTTGATGGGGTTTGCCACGTCGCACAGCACGGATACAACAATGCGTCGGCTTGCGCCTGATTTGAGAGGAAATTGGAGGGGGTCAGACCGAGGCCGGGGTGGCGGTGGGAGGGGGGCAGGGTGTTCCCTCGAGAACCCACTCTCTCGCTCGGTCTCTCACTCCAGTCCTCCCTTCTTTCTTCCCGTTGCTCGGCTTATGCCGGTGTGACACACGGATAGACGCACGGGGCGAGAGGTTTAAGAGGAGACTCGTGACTAAGCACTTAGAGACACGCACGCAACCGCGCACGCACACATAAATGGCCTGAACTCATCTTCAGCATGTAACGGGGTCCCAGTAGGCACTTTGCAGTACAGCGCGCCTCTTGTTGAAATCCCAAATAGCCACATGAGCAACTCTCATAAGGTGACACTGTTCTCATGTCCTTATGAGGCGTATTCAAGAGATTGTGCTGAGAGCGTCCTCTAAATCATTTACTTTGGTCCTGCACCACCACAGGCTGGAGGTACATTAAAGGGACATCCTAAACCCAAGTCTTATCTTTGTAGCATTGGCTGTCATTACGCTGCTAAAAAGAAGTCTGATGTCGGGATGCACAGATGCTTTGTGTGGGTGAGCCGATGGCTGTAGCGATCAGACAGACTCTCTGGGCCTCATGTGTACATTTGCAAACGTAGCATATCAGAACAGCAAAAACGAGGTTGATGTGCACGAGGTAACAGCGAATTTAAATATACAGGGATGGAATTGCACACAAACACAATAAAAATGCCATCTTACATGCCAATTACAGACTACATTAATGCAATATCCTCGACACGCAGACAGTTGGAAGAGGTGAAAAAGAGGTGGCAGGACCTTAAACGGCGTACTAAGGAAAAAGAGAACACACAGAAGGAAAGACAAGGTGCAGGTCCCCCAGAAGTACACAAATTGACCACAATGCAAGAGGTTGTGCAGAACTGGTGGAAGTGTCACCCTTGTGGCAAAAATCCTTTCGGATCGTCTCCTTTCGTCTTCAGGGATTCTATTGTAATCACCACTAAGCAGATACACTGCATTTTCACTCTGGTTTTTCTTCATTTCTTAACTCACGAGAGTTGTGGTGCAACATATTCCCATTTCAGCACAGTCTTCCCATTTGCCCCAAAGCAAAAGTGTCTGTCTAAGCCCGTCTGGATAAAACCAGGAGCTGTCTGTAATGAGTGTCTTTAGGCTGTTGTTTTGAGCTATAAAACCAGTAGTTTCAGAGGGGAATTCCTTCACAGTATATATATATCGAGCCTATGTAAATAATACCATCTGCCAAGGGTTTTCTCAGGCTGATCATTTTCAGCACAAAAAAAACATTAACTTCACTGAACCATTATAGCCAAGAAGAATATAGGTTGTGCAAAGTGTAAGTATACTCTATTCAGGAAAAGAAGGTGTTGGAATCATTCATTTAAAGGCGACATATTATGAAAATTCCACTTCTGTGCCACGTTAATTTGGTTATCTGGAATGTCTAACAATGCAAAAACTCCTTACCACTTCCTTAACATTGTGTGTCGTCACAATGTAATGAGAGTCTCTCTTACCAACGTGATCTCCAAAACCTGTTCGTAAAAATGTATACGAAAATCTTGAACATACAAATTCGTAACAATACATACGAACTGGCGGTGGTTAACCACGCCCCTTGAGTGAACAACATGGCGGACCATGTCGGATTCTTGAGTGAACGTCTCTCCGCCATGTTGGATTTTTTGAGGGGGTTAGGGTTTGTATTCTATTCTTACAAATTAACATTGATTTCTCGTTGAAAATGCAATCATAACACGTTTATTTTACATC